CCCACCCCCAGCGCCACCCCAGAAGACACTGGAAGGGGGCTGGGGGAGCAGGCTAGAAAAAGGGAACACAGCCCTTCCCAGAAGTGAACCAAGGGTTCCCCGGACCTTAAAAGTGGGTCCTTGAGCCCCTGGAGAAGCCTCAAGGTCTCAGCTCAGAGGACAGACTGGCGGCCTGAGGATCTAAATGTCGCACTGTCTGAGTGTATATAGATAGCCAAGAGGCTGGAAGGTTGAGAAGGCCAAATGCCCAGGTTCCTACTCAATGGGACTCTGCCTTGCCCGTTCGCTGGAGACACAGGGGAGAGCTGAAACCCCCACCTTGTCCCCTCAAGCTAGACTTAGAGTGGGCCTCTCACAGTCCCAGCACTGCCCTTATACTACGTCCTCTCTTTCAGGTCTCCCTCCATCCTAAGATTAGACAGACTATTCCCTTAGCACATATCTGAGCAAACTGAGAGGGGAATCCCTGACCGCTGTTGGCCCGGTGAATATGGGGTGTGTGCAGCCTCCCCAACGGATGAATCTTGCACACACCTTCCACCTCCCAGCCCACTCAAACTAACCTTTCTGCACCCGGCAGAAATGACCGGAAACCCAGGAGTCCCTCTCTCCTTTCCTTAGGAGTGAGATGGTGCCTCAGCCCTGGAGGGAGATGGGTGGGCATCGAAGAGTAGGAGAGATTGGCCGAAAAGCTGTTTATACTCCTGTTGGCTCCCAGTCTCTCCCTCCTCCATTGTATTCCCCCACCCTGGTCAGACAGTTGTGACCGGGCCCTGGGCCCCAAGCTGGTCTCGGGAGCTCGGGCAGAACCAACAGTTGCGTGTGGTGAAGCCCGGCTGCACAGCTCACACTGTGTCTGCAGCTTCAGGGAGTGAGCCCCTGGTTACGTGGCCATTCTGACTGGGAGGATCTTGTACTCTTTGCTTCCCAGGGACTCTTGGGAACTTTTTGGAAACTCTAGGGTGTCAGCCAGATCCTGAGGGAGTGGAGAGATCTTGAGTGACTTAGCAGGACATAAAGTCTTAGTTACTTGACTCAAGACCGCTCTGCCTTCAGACGAGTTTGATGTTTGATGTGCTTTCCTATCTTTTAAGAAACGTCTCCCTCACTCTTCCTGCCAGCCCAAACTTCCTAACAAGCATTCAGCTAACGCCCCACGCATATATCACAGGACAGTCCTCCTCTGAAATGTCAGGCCCCCAGCCCAATTCTGAAGGCACCAAAGAACAAATTACAACGCAATAGTTTCCACCCTTCCCTCACCAAACCAAGACCAGGGTTGTCTGGGGTTGGCTGTGTGACTCCTTATTGTAGAGTCCCAGACTCTACAATAAGAGTTAGTGGCCCCAGGGCACAGGGTTGCTAAGGGAGAGAGGGTCACAGGTCCTTTCTACCCAAGAAAAGTGAAAAGTGGGGGGCCCTTTAGTGTGAGTTTAGGGACTGCTTTGAGGGTGGCTCTCCCCCATTCATCTTCTGACCGCCGGCTGTCTTTGCTGGCAGGGAAGCCTACAGTGGGGTCTTCCTGGCCAGGAGGCTTCAGGGCAGGTGTACAGGGAACTAGAAATAATGCTGCTTTAATACCTCTGAGTCATTTAAAATTTCAAAACCATTTGACTGTTTGCTGAACTGGGGAGGAGTCAGAGAACATTTCTAGAGTTCCTAGTGGTGCAGGCCCACCACCCTTCCTCTCTGAGCAGCGCAGAGTTGGTGCTGTGGATTCTAATAGAAAATGCCCAGGCTAGCAGGCCCCACTCTGCACCTCCCAGGGCTTTCTCTGGTCATGGGGATTGCCTGGGCGAGATCTTTCCATCCATCTTCTTCGACCCCTCCCCATCCCGCCCCTGACACACGCAAACACACTCCCTCACGTGACTGACTCCTCTATAGCCCAGGGCCAAAGGGCACAAGGGTCTTCCCTCCCCTCAATTTCTCCCCACCTCTCCCCTGTCATCCTGGGGCCCCCAGGCCTGCCTGGGCCCAGATTCTGGCCCTGCTAAAGTATATTTCTTCTCCCAACCGAACAAAAGATGTGACTGAAATGCTCAGCCTCACGCTTCCTGGGGGGGTTAATGGTGTCTTTTTATTTTTTCCTGAGGGGTGTTGATTAATACCTCGTTAACAGCGCATTTAACGACCTCCGGGTGTTTAATAACCTTCAGAAGTTTCCCACAAAGGCTCAGACTCTGGGCAAGAAAATGAGAACCAGGCCCCAGGGCTGTTCCCCTTACCTTCCCCCCACCCCACCAGGATCTGGGGCCTCCCTGGACTGATGGGAAGGGGGTGGAGAGAGAAGAGGGTGCCTGGAGCTGCCCTGGCCCCCCAAGTCACAGCCCGAGAGTGAGGCCTTCCCCCATGCCAGCAGGATGACGGAGAGCTGAGGGGGCACTCCTGGGGCGGAAAGAGGACATGTGAGGACCTAGAGTGGCTCTGGGGAGGGTGTGAACGATGGTATGAGGGTGACAGTGCACAGGGATATCCAGGCCATGGGCTCAGCATCCCCACCCGTCCACTGAATAGTTCTCCTCTCCCCCAGTCGGGCCTGGACAACTCGGCCTTTGTGTTTCGACCCCACAGGGTGCTGGTGGTTTTGAGCACCATACGAGCCCTTAGCTGCTGTGGAGTATGCTGGAAGAGCCAGGGAGAGGCCTGAGGATGCTGTTTAGGTGGTAGTGACAGTCAGACTGTGCTCCCCAGAAGTCCCTGGGCAGTGCAGAGCTTCTCCCCGCATGGTATCGAGTGGGCAGTTCCCTGTGAGGGTAACCCCAAAAGAACTGATCTTCCAGGAGGAATCATCACTCACTACCAACCCCACTGATACACATCACTCATATGCAAAACACACCCCGGCATGTGCCCTTAGGTACCTTGTTCTTATCACCACTTGTTACCAATCTGAGGGAACTTGCTTTTCCTCCCTCAAGACCCACACAGAGAAAACTGAAGCTGCCAGAAGGTAGAAATGGTGAGGGATACAGATTGGAGGAGGGGAGGAGGGATAATGCCCAACCGTATGCTGGCTTGTGTTTTAGCAAACAGCATCCTTAGAAAAAAACAGATTGTGGCCGGGCACAGTGGCTCACGCCTGTAATCCCAGCACTTTGGGAGGCCAAGGCAGGCAGATCACTTGAGGTCAGGAGTTTGAGACCAGCCTGGTCAACATAGTGAAACCCTGTCTCTACTAAAAATACAAAAATTAGCTGGGCATAGTGGCAAGTGCCTGTAATCCCAGCTACTCGGGAGGCTGAGGCAAGAGAATTGATTGAACCCAGGAGGTGGAGCAGAGCTGAGATCATGCCACTGCACTCCAGCCTGGGCAACAGAGTGAGGCTCTCTCAAAAAACAAAAAAAAAAAAAAAAGAAAGAAAGAAAAACAAGTTGTAGAATCCGAGTGGCACAAATTCACATCTTAGCGCCTGCACTGATGGGCTGTGCCACCTTATGCAAGCAACTTAACCTCTCTGAGTCAGCCTCCTCACCTGAAGTTGGAGATAATAATAGTACCTACCGTGCCCATTATAAGAATTGAGTTATGCACTTAGAGCAATTTAGCAGGGTGCCTGGCACGTGGTTAACTCCCAGTGGCCAGACCTGCCCATTTACCTGAGTCGGAAGGGGTGAGGGGCTGGCATGATGAGTAGGAAGTCTGACTACAGGGAAGAGAGGGCATGCTTCCCAGGCAACGCTGCATTCTCTTCTGGCCTGAGCTGAAGCAAAGGCCTAGGGATGGTGGGGGGAGAGAGAGGGGGAACCTGACAGTCCAGCCCTTCCTTGTCCCCACCCCCACCCTGTGACCTAATGACCTGCCCTCGGCTTTCCCCAGCTCTATGGCTACTGCTACCAGGACAGCGAGGACATCCCAGACACCCTGACCACCATCACGGAGCTGGGCGCCCCTGTAGAAATGATCCAGCTGCTGCAAACTTCCTGGGAGGATCGATTCCGAGTGAGCTTAGAGGAGGGCTCGGGCCCTGGGCTCCTTGCTAGGATGGTTCTCCCTTAGAAGGCCAGCCCTCCAGAGCAGCCCCCACTCCTCCTCCACCCAGGGAGAGGGAGGGGAAGAAGGCGCACAGGCTGACTCAGCCACCGGCCAAAGTGTTCAAAAAAGAAGGAAGACGTAGAGGATCCCGACATTCTGTGCTCTTGCCCTCCTCACCCTTCCTTGTGCCCATGTACACACCAGCTTGTGGGGGCTGGCACCTTAAAGAGGGGAGCACTCACACACTCACACTCAGCCTGACCATGGGAGGGCCAGTGTCCTAGAACGAGGAAAGACCTTAATACCATGTTGACCCTCCCGCTACTTCCATACACTGAACTAAAACGACATTCAGGATGCAACTTCAGGGAAGAGATGCATTACCCCCAGACCCTTGCTGCTGCCGTTTCCCACCCACTCCATATCATTTGCAGGGTCAGGCCAGCTGAGAGTTAATAGGAACTCACTGGCCTCCTCTCTAAGGCTGCTGACCTTGGCCTTTGTGGAGCACTGGGACCTACAGAAGAAAAGTGCCAACCCCCACAAGAAAAGTTCAGATTCCACAAGGAGGGCGCCCTCGAGTCCCACAGACCCCCACCCAGGAGAGAGGCAGTGAGCAGTCTTTTCTTCTGCCCCTCAGATCTGCCTGAGCCTGGGCCGCCTCCTCCACCACCTGGCCCACTCCCCACTGGGCTCCGTCACTCTGCTGGACTTCCGCCCGCGGCAGTTTGTGCTGGTGGATGGGGAGCTCAAGGTGACGGACCTGGATGACGCACGTGTGGAGGAGACGCCATGTGCAGGCAGTGCTGACTGCATACTCGAATTTCCGGCCAGGAACTTCACCCTGCCCTGCTCAGCCCACGGCTGGTGCGAGGGCATGAACGAGAAGCGGAACCTCTATAATGCCTACAGGTGACCTCCACCCCCGATTCAGGAACTCCATCGAAGGAGAATGGGCCAGGAGGGCATGGCAGGAACAGAGGCAACGTGGAGGCCAGCGGGGCAGGGAGACTCAGCCTTGACCAGAGTGAGGGAAGGCTTCTACCCTGTCCAGAAGGGAACGTTCAGGCTTCTGATGGGGAGGCTAAAAATAGCTCCAAGGAGAATCTGTGTTAGGGGGTGGCAGCTGGAAGCTTCTTAAAATAGTGTTGGACTCGGAGCCTAGGGCTGCTGGAACTGGCACTTTTCCCTTCCTACCCAGGCCCTTGTGCTCTGGGAAATTCCTCACTGGGCCCCAGCCATGGGGCTGCTCTGACACCGGGGGTCAGTCAGGGGATGATGTGGGGCTGGGAGGTGGGCAAGTCCTGGGAAGGGATGGGAACCAGACCCTTGGTTTCGGTTAGTGTGAAGTTAGGTGTGGTCTTAGCATGCGCCCAGCCCCCTCCCCCGAGGCTGAGTAGACTTCACAGCAGCCTGCCTGGTTGCTAAGCCTGAGGGATCCGGCTCCCTGGCCAGGTTAGCATTTACCCCAGGTTGGAATAGAGGAAGGATGTGTCTCCAAAGGCTGGATCCCTGAGCCACTGGTTTCTCTCTGCCACAGGTTTTTCTTCACATACCTCCTGCCTCACAGTGCCCCGCCTTCACTGCGTCCTCTGCTGGACAGCATTGTCAACGCCACAGGTGAGCTCTCCAGGGCCCATCTGCTTCCAGGCACCTTCCCCCCGCACACCAGCAAAAGTGGGGAGAAAAATAACCCAGGGCAGCAGGGGGTCCAGAAATCATCACTTCCTAAGGTGGCATTCTGCTGCAACCTCCCCACTCCCCAACCTTCTGTTCACTGGGGCACAAGCTCTGGAGGCAGAGCCGGGAGCAGCTGGCTGCTGACTTCAGGGAGGAGTGGGAGCCCCAGGCCTCCTGTCTTAGCCACACTGCACTCTGCAGGAGAGCTCGCCTGGGGGGTGGACGAGACCCTGGCCCAGCTGGAGAAGGTGCTGCACCTGTATCGGAGCGGGCAGTATCTGCAGAACTCCACGGCAAGCAGCAGTACTGGTGAGTGGCCCCAACCTGATCCACAGGGAAGCGAGAAACAGGTGGGAGGGTGAATGACCCCACCCAATTAGGCTAAGTGGCCTATTTCTCTATAACCCTTTTCTGGTTACCCTTGTCTCCAAAGGCCACTCTAGGGGCTCACATAGAATCGTGGAGGGGCTGACATGGAGTAATCTGAGGTTCCATCTCTAGCTGAGCTAGAGCAACTATAATTCTGCCTTCAACCTGGGGGTGGACACTGACACCCTACTCTGGATGGCTCCAAACCCTATCATGTACTGCCTATGTGACTTTGAGCAAGTTACCCCTTGAACCTCACTTTCCTCATCTGTGAATTGGGTTCACCATTACCCATCTCACCAAATTCTTATGGGAATTAAATGTCAGGTGAAATGTGTGAAAGCAATTAGTGCAGTTCCTATGACACGGCTGGAACACAGTATATGTTTGCTTCCCTTTCCTTCCTCTAATCTCCGGGGGCTAGAAGGACACTGGATGTTAGGGGAGGCACACACGGAAACCAGCCAGGAAGCTCCAAGGGCAGGGGGAGAATTCTGGCCACTGGTTTCAGGCTGTGGTCCTTCTGCTGAAGCCCTGGGGTTTAGCTGGGGTTGGCAGGGGTTGAGGGGTGAGCAGCCTCCATATTCAAGGAGCTCTGGCTAGTCTTAGGGGTGGGGGAGCCCTGTTAGCCCTGTAAATAAAGTTTAACGAGGTGAACAATGGCTGGCTCTGTCCCTGAGGATGCCGTTTATGGGGCTGTAAATCACAGTCAGCCCTGGACTTTGGTCTAGTCCCTGGTAGAAGGAGGCAGGAGGGCGGGGTGGCCAGAGGCCCAGGGCTTCTGCATTATCAGCCCAGAGCTGGGGCTCTCCAGGCAGTGGGAAAGACAGGAGCAAACAAGAGGCCAGCAGCCGAGCAGCTCACTGGATTGTGAGTTTTCAGAGCTTCTGAGGCTCTCTCTGTAGAATGAGATCTCAGATTTTTCCCTCCAGCCCCGTCCACACTCTAGCCATGGATTTTTTGCATTTTAGTCCATTTACATGCCTCTTAACTTCAAAAACCCCTGACTCCCTTCCATCCCAGGCCCTTCTGAGGAACTTGCCTAACTTCTCTCCCCAAGGCCAGGAGAAAATGTGAATGAAGGTTGCTCTGAACCCTTGCAGGCCACACTGGATGCTGGTTAGAAGTGCAGATTCTCAGTTCCACCCCAGACCTACAGAATCAAAATCTCCATTTGGTGGGGCATGGTGGCTCACACCTGTAATCCCAGCACTTCGGGAAGCTGAGATGGGAGGATCCCTTGAGCCCAGGATTTCAAGGCTGCAGTGAGCTATGATTGTGTCACTGCACTCTAGTCTGGGCAACAGAGTGAGACCCCATCAAAAAAAAAAAAAAAAAGAATCTGCATTTTAACAAGAGTCCTTGGTGGGATTCACATGCACATTGAAGTTTGAGAAGCCTTGGCTCTATCTAAAATGTCCTGACCTCAGCAATTCGCCTAGACAGCTGGGACTCCATGGGTCCCTGTATATGTCTGTCCCCCTTGCATGTGCCTGCTATCTTGTACTGCCTGACCCAGCTATGTGCCCTTAGATTTGGGAGATATGTATCTCCTGAAAACCAAGTCTGTGCTTTGTCTTTTTTGATGAATCAGCCCAGTTTCAACAGTGGTAGCTGCCTTCATCTCCATGCTAGAGGGTTGGGCTGGACTTTAGCTTTGACCTAGGTGATGAGTCTTGCTGCCCTTTTCAGAAAGTGACACATCCCTGGGCACTCAAACCTGGGCATACAGAGTTCTCATTTTACTCCATCCCCAACCCACAGAGTACCAGCGCATCCCAGACAGCACCATCCCCCAGGAGGACTACCGCTGCTGGCCATCCTACCACCATGGGGGCTGCCTCCTTTCAGTGTTCAACCTGGCTGAGGCTGTGGATGTCTGTGAGAGCCATGCCCAGTGTCGGGCCTTTGTGGTCACCAACCAGACCACCTGGACAGGTGAGCCAGTGGGAGAAGCCCTTCTAAGGGAGATGGCAGGACCTCTCTGGAGGTTGATAGCTAGTGATTGCCCATCGTAAGTCAGGGGGGGTGCTGAGATGATGAGAGAGAGGTATACGTGTCTTCAAGGCAGTCAAATTAGGGAGAATGGCCCTGCATCCAGGAAGAGAAACATCCAGCCCTGTTACCTCTCACCTCTGCCCCCCAGGTCGGCAGCTGGTCTTTTTCAAGACTGGATGGAGCCAAGTGGTCCCTGATCCCAACAAGACCACATATGTGAAGGCCTCAGGCTGACCTGTCTGAGGGCTCGGCTGACCAGCTGACTATCCTCAGCAGCAGGGCTTGCCTGTGGAGGGAGTGACTTGCACTGGCAGCGCTGCATGTCACCTGGGAACCCCTGCAGACAAAGCTGACATCCCAGACAGACCGATGTGACCAGGACAAACGTGCAATAATGCCAAATGTTAAAATGTGAGTTTACCAGCCTAGCTATGGGACTGCAGGCTCCTAGTCCAGGAATCTTGGGGGGATGACTGCCTCTCCAACCCTCTGGGCTGCAAGCAAGCTCAGGCTAGTCTCCCCAGTGGGGGCTGTGTCCCTCCCTGGGACAGTTCCGTGAGCAGCCCCGTCACTGTGTTCAGTAGTGTGAGAATGTAGCTAAAGCCCCTGCTGCTGCTGCTGCTGCTGCTGCTGCACTTGCCACGGCAGGCGGGGGGCTGCGTGGGGACAATCCATCGCTGAGTGTTCTCTCAGCTGAGGTCTGGACAGGAGACTTGGCGGGGGAAGCTCCAGGATGTGGGTGATTCTGTACCTGGGGAGGCTATCTCTGACCTCCCGACAGGGGGCAGGCACTCCCAGGCCAGCCCAGGGGTCAGGGGCAGAGGTGCACACCTCAGCATGAGCCAAGACTGGGGTCGGGGAGCAGGTGCGGTTTGAGCCAGGACCTGGGGTGGGGGTGGGGCCGGGGCCTTTCTGCCTCATTTGCTTTCAATGAAAGCCGCAAAGCAGCCAAAACCAGGCTCTCCCCGTTCCTGGAGTTTGAGTATCCAGAATCTTTTGTACTTCTTGTTCATTAAATTGTCTATTTTTGTAAAAAAAAAATAAAATAAAATTAGTTAATAAAATGATGTTTCACAGCAAACTCTTCCCCAGCAACAGTTTCTTAGGTTGTGACTTCTTGGTCCTCAGTTATGTCCTTGGTATATGTTTGTGGGGATGCGTGTGTCACAGGGGAAGATGAGTGAAATCTCAGCAGCAAACCCTGAAGTCATCACAAAGTGTTTTCAGGCTCTGCTGCCACCCATGGTGCCCACCTCCCACGGGGCCCTCCACATCATGTCCCCAAAAAAGACATGGGGACTCCCTTTTCCCCCAAGGAAGTTCTCATTTTTACAGACCAGCTTCTTAAGTATGAAGCCCTAACCCAGTGGAGTAATGTCCTCATGGTGGGATGTCAGCCATGAAGGGGTCACCAGGGGTACTCGAACAACCTGCAGGTGGGTCAGCTTTACCTCTGCACAGGGTTGGACCTGGCCTGCGCCCACCACAAGGTCACGGGCACTAAGCTTTTCTGAGTCTTTCTCTGAACATGAAATATATGAACAGTCAGAAGAAAGGAGGGTCTGTGGAAAGACCAGCTTCCATTTTGTCGATTGTAGGAGGGAAGGTCTAGCCAGTCTGCATCGAAGCCCAGAGCAAAAACAAGGACCTGCGGGTTCGGGATCACACGGAGGCCAGAGAGCCCCGCCATGAATGCAGGGCTTCTGACTTGAAACCCACATCGTCTCTCCTATACACCATTCTACTTCTAGAATATTCTGGATGGACGCAAACCTTTGGAGGCTTTAAAAAGAATAACCAAACTTTAACCTGATTTCTCCTCAACAGATGTGGTTGGTATAATTTCTCACATAACAAGATGTCCCTGTAGTTCGAGGTGATTGAGAGCCGTATTAGCTCTGGAGCGCTCATCACAGTTGTCACTCTGACCCTCAGGGTTGCAGCTTGCCACTGCCATCCCCAGCCCACACACCTTGCCTCTGGTATTGGGCTTGGTGATTGTGGGTGGAGGGGAAAGGCAGAGCCTCCACAAAGCCTCACACCATGACAATGCAGCCAAATCCTGCCATGCTCACCACCCTCAGACTATCCTTATCCCTTGAAGGAGGACCTCAGCTTCCATCGCCCTGGGACCTCTTTCCCTAGCTGAACTCAATCCATGCAACATGCGTAGCCCACCCCACGCGATCCAGTACTGGACTTTACACAATCCTCTATTACCCTCCAACTGTCATACGGTCTATGGGGCTCTGAGGGCCAGAGGAACCACATCCACCAAGGAGGCACAAGGCAGGACCAGAAGTGATGAGAAACTGAGGGGAGCGGACTGGGCCAGGAAGTGTGCGAGGGCTGCATAGTCCAGAGAGACCAAGGACCCAGTAATAAGCAGAGAGGCCTGCAGGACCTAGGAACCACAGGACTCTGGGGAAAAAGACCAAAGTGAACCAAGCACTGCCTTCCCGGCTTCGAGAGATTTCCAGATGAGGGGTTCACCAGCCCCTGGAGAGGGACAGAGGGAAATAATACTTCCAGAGGGCCAGGCTCTGGCCTCAGCAAGGTACAAAATTATTCCAATTTTACAGCCCTGAAAACTGAAGCCCAGGTAACAGCTGCTAAGTGTTTGAGCGAGCATTCTAATCCAGCCTCCCTCCAAGCCTGCGCTCTGGCCGGTAGTACTAAGTGCTGTGTCCAATAAGGGACCCGTTGCAGCAGGAAGAGTGTGAGTTAGAGTTAGGGAAGCGCCTCCTTCCTGTGAGTGTGTAACAAACGGAAATGGAGGTCCTGCAAGTCATAACATCTTTTTAGAAAGACTCACGCACAGTGACTGAAGGGGATAGTGGACGGCTTCTTCCTTAGTGAGTGAGCCTTGTCCCAGAACCTATTTCTGGGGGCAAAAATGGCCTGATTCGGTCCTGCAGAGTCAAGAGAAGGGCATTTACAACTGGGAATGGAGAAAGGATGGAGTACCAGAAAGAAAGGGGAGGTAAAGGAAAGCCTGAAGCAAAATCATTCCTCTCCCGGACGACCTTTCACAGGGAGCCACCTATTTCATCCAGAAACACACACCACCTCCCCTTCCACCCACCAAGCCCACGTTCTTCCTACTCCACGGCAATGCTAGTGATACCCAGGTGCAGTGAACGGAAAAAATACATTCACCCAACTGAAGCCTCAGGTGACAGTCGCCAGAGGAGGGAAGGCAAGGGTGGGGATTGGGAAAGGATCCGCCAGTTGCGTTCCTGAATTGAGGAAGCAATGCAGGAGGGCAGTGTGACCTAGTGGTTCCCCGTGAGGCTCTGGAGCCAGCCAGAGCTGGGCAGGAGTCCCAGACGGTTCTGTTTTTTGCTCAGTGTGATCTGGTTCATGACAACCTCCCTGAGCCTCCATTTCCCCATCTGCAAATTTCAGATGAATCATCTGCTTCACAGCAGCCTTACAGAAACTGAGTAAAATCCTGCCTTAGCCAGGGTCAGCAAACAGTACATGCTTAGGAAATGCTGGCTGATGCTGTCATTGTTATTATTTATTAGCGAGCTGAGCCCTCAGTGTTATCCATGGCCTGGCCTGGAAAAACATCCAGGGCAACTGCGGAGGACCAAGGCACGAGCTGGAGTGCCCACCCCTTGGCTCTGCAGCGCCCCCTCTGCCCCGCCCCACCCTCCCGCCATAGGGAATAGGGCCTTCAACTGGGGGAGGTGGGGCCCGGCTCTCTGGGTCAGTGCCCTGGGAGTTCAGTGTGTGGTAGACAGAAGGAGGAAGAGGATTAACATGAAAGCAGAAAATGGGATTAGGAGGCCTTAGGATAATGTGCCCACCCACCCCCCATCCATGACAACAGCTTCTTGCTTGCACGCCGAGGCTTCTGGAGCCTGGAGCATCTAAGACTTGGTTGCCCCTGCTCCTGAGGGCAGAGCCAGGAAAGGAGACTCGGACTCTGAGCATGAGACTACTCAGTTCACTAGGAAGAGGGGTGGGGCTGTAGCTGGCTGCAGGGCAGGCCTGCGTGACTTTCTGTGCACTTTCTCATTTAATCCTTACGGCAAATCTGAGAGGTGGGTGATGGCCCAGAAAGGTGAAAAGTAGGGATCCAAGCCTAGGCTGTTGCCCCCAAAAGCCTGTATTCCTTTCCCTCCACCCAGGAGCACACCCATGTATTGCCCTAAACCTACAGGAGCAATGATCCACTCACACCTGCCACCTCCCCTGCATCATCCGCAAGAGTGAGGATGTCCCAGGGACCCTGACTTTAAAGGACCCCTTTGAGGTCTGTGTGAAGAACGTTTATGTTTCTCTGTTCACCTCTTCGTGAACCCCAGCCAAGGCTACCCCCTGAGGTGGACAAAGTGCCACATCATTCCCACCTAGGGGAAGGAGATAGACCAAGATATTTCTAATAATTGCCTCTTAAGCTCTAGAGGATCCCTACAGCTGTGTTTGGGGGAAGTTCCTTCTCCCACTCTCATTCCAGCCAAGGGCCCTGTCAGCCTCCTTTTTTCAGCATTTTAATGGCTTGTTGTCCTGGTCCATCCTACCCAGCCCTAGGCCCTCTGGCCTCATTCCAGCTCCAGAAAGCCTCTCCCAGGATTCAGCAAAAAGAATTTCTCCCTCTATCATTCAAGGTCCCAATAGGAAACAGCACGGTGTGCATAAGACACATTTATAAATGTGTATGTCCAGGGGAACCCCAAAGGATAGCTATGACCTGAGCCAGTGGCAGCCAAGCTATTTCCATCTCTATCCCCCACCAAAGGAAGGGAGTGAGAGCTATTACCAGAACTCAGAACCTGGAAGAAGAACCCAGGAGTCATGTAGATTTGGCACTTGAAGAAGTGAGCAAAGGACCCCACCATACAGGGTGACTTCACAAGGTGAGACATACACTCTCACCACACATTCCCTCCTCACTCCTTCAGTCTCCTGCTGAGCTCCCCATTGGCCAAATCCAACTTGAAGGCAGAGGGCTAAGGAACTCAATGTGGTCACCTAAAAGCTGGTCAGGAGCACCCCATCTCACCTCACATCTTTGGGATTTTGTTCGGCTTGAGGGGAAGGCAAGAGAAGACTCTTGTTCCCAGTTCCATCCTTAGATATTCAGCAATTTGTTGTTGTTTGAATGAAGCCACACTTTGGGCCCAATTCTTCAGCAAGTCCCTCACAGCACGCATTCTCAACAGAGCCACCATCATTCCCAAGGAGACAACACTTGGTTCTTGGGAGACGAAAAATCTTAGATATTACAATGACTTATGGCACTGCAAAGGGCCACAGGACATAAACAGAAATGCAATATTCCATGTTATTAAAATTTCATGGAAGGTGGTGGCAACTGGGGGAAAAGTAGGTTAAAAAAAGTACTTGGTGGGGGTGGGGGAATAATAATGGAAAACAGGTTGAGAAGCACTGGATTATATTGACCCAAAATCTTTCCTTGGGCTGTCGCTGACAGCTTTAAATCTCTCGTCCTCAAAGGTGCAGCTTATACTATTATTTTCTAAACTGGTATATATGATGTATTCACTATTATTTTCTAAACTGATATATATGATGTATTTACTTGTATTCTCTTTACACATCTCATAAAAACAAAGTGCAGGCTGGGTGCGGTGGCTCATGCCTGTAGTCTCAGCACTTTGGGAGGCCGTGGCGGGCAGATCACTTGAGTTCAGGAGTTCGAGGCCAGCCTGGCCAACATGATGAAACCCCATGTCTACTAAAAATACAAAATTAACTGGCATGGTGGCAGGCACCTCGGGAGGCTGAGGCAGGAGAATCACTTGAACTCTGGAGGCAGAGGTTGCAGTGAGCCGAGATCTTGCCATTGCACTCCAGCCTCGCCAAAAAGAGCAAAACTCAGTCTCAAAAAAAAAAGTGCAATTCGAATGCTTTACTCAACCTGACCTTGCCCATGGGGAACATCTTCAGCCATTCTTGAACCCCCTGTATCTTCCTGCATCTCACAGCCTTTTGCTGGTATTTTCCTACTTGGAAGAGCTCAAGGTCATTGGCAAGCCAGAAGATTTCAATGTACACTCATTCTTCTCTCAACTGATCAAGCCACAAAATAGTTCTTGGACACTAGTCACTCTAAT